ACTAGAGCACTGCATTGATGGGACAACGGTTTTTTAGTGTATGGCCGCGCTGCCATTAACGGACGCCCACTGCTATACATTTGAATACCGAATCCTTTCTATCAACTAGGCGAAAGAGGTTAGACGACAGCCGGTTATTTCCACCGCAAAGCTTGACATGCTGTCGGTTCTGGTCGTTATCAGTGGGTCAGATTTGACTTGTATAAACATTTAGTGATAACGGGCAGATCAGGTGGTCTCAAACTGCAATCTTATCAAAACATTGTCGTCAGAACAAGGAGAACATTTGATGATTGATGTAAACGTCATTGAAGTTCAAATATCGATCGTATTTCAGATTTTGAAGCCGTCCGAGAAAAAAGCGAAATATCAGTACGCTGGTTTGAACAGTGGACGGCCAGCAGTGGGTGGAGCTAGACCCGTGGGAAAGAAATAAGTGCAGCGGCGATGCCTTTGCCTTCATTTCCCCATGCTCCTTCACACTACGAGTCGAATCAGACTGTATCACATTCGTCTTCTTAGAGGAATTACATCAGATTGACTCCGAGTCCCGCGAGTGTGCGGTGATCACTAGAGTTCATTCTGTTACTGTCAATCTACCCGTTCCCTCCCAGTCCCCAATGTCCATCATCAGCACTTGTTCCCTCCAATAAGCTCTTTCCGAGGAGCGAATTTTCACTCAAACAATTGCTGCTTTCTTTCTAATCATAACACCCTCTGGGGTTTCTTTTTATGATCACTAAACGATCTATAGAAATGATTTTGCTCGAACCACCTCTTCTCTTCCTCTCTTCCTCCTTCTCCTTTTACGAATCAACCTTTCCAGTTTTTTCTCCCTATTTTTTCATGCTCTCTATTATGGGAATTGCTATGTATTCGTTGTGCCCCCGAAAGATGCGTTGTATTTATTTACCGTTAATGATTGAATTCGTTTTCGTTGCCGGAACGAATTTACACTTACATCTTCCCACCGAACCATCTGTAACCAGTTGGCGATAATCCTATTTCGCCTTGGTTTCGTGGTTATGTCTTCGTTTGTAGTTTTGTATTTTGATGTGACGAGTTACTGTAGGTCGAGTGGCGTTCCTACATGTTCGCTATAGCCGTCGTCTTTTTGGATTGTGTCCTCCAGTTTACAAACATTTTCTTTTTTCATCATCATCATTTTCGTTTATTTCATTCTCTTGGTGTCGTGTAGTTGTGCTCGCAACCGAGTTAATACATTCTTGAACAACGTCTGGTATTCAAAGAATAAATAATAGTTTATGATAAGATACCATCATAGTGATACTATTGATAAACTGGTAGGTTATCGACAACGTTTTTCATGAATCACGTGTGGTGTTTGCAAGGTTTTACTCTGACCGCTGTGAATAAATGAATGAAGAAACGAGACCTGCAATAATAATTTTCAATGTGTTAGTATTTTGTATTTTCTAATATATAAGCATTTTGTGTGCAAGAAAACCAGCAATGATCCTGCCATGAAGGATGTGTGGCGCCGGAATATGTGGTTTAGACCCGTCATACTCGGCGACGGACAAGCGATGGAGCAATCGCGATCGCCGCCGAGTGTGAACGCGGTCTTTAGAGCGGCGGAGCAAACTTGAAGCAGTGGTGACTACGCATGGTTGAGGGTGGCTGCCTATGGTGACAATCATTAAACAATCGTTGTATAAGTGTAAAGACCGTCCCCACCACACACACTTTCAGCGCTCCGACAAGGAAAGGATGCCGCGTTGCCATGGCTGCGCTGTTTTGCTTCATAACTCCGTTCAGATTTGGAAGATCAATTTGAGACCAGCGTCTGGAGGCACTTCTAGGCGTATGAATCTCTTCTTGAATTTCCATGGGTAACTGAAGCCTTTTCCTTGTGAGACGTCTAGTTCACCTATGGCGTTCAAGGAGGTTATCGAAACCCCACCTCATCATGATTGCTGCACTATTTAAAGCAAGATTCGGATAAAATAGTTGTGGAAAAGCGTTCAGTTTATGAGCCTAAGAGAAGGAAAGTAAACGAAAATCACCGATTACGCCCCGTACAGAGACCTCCCCTATTTCAGCCACATTCCACCTTGGGATAGAGAAGAGGCGAATTGGACGAGTTTCACGAACCTAACTCTACTTGCTCCAGTGTCAATAACATTGGATCGCGCTGGGACCACTGCCTCAAATGCGCCCGCGCTTTTCAAGCAGCGCCACGTGGCAACCGACAGCGAAGGGTGGGGCTTGCGGACGAAGGTGTGAGTTGCGGGTTGGACGAGCTCCTTGCGCCTTTGTCGCGTACTTTCAAGCCGCAAAAGGGGCCGACATCAACACTTGTCCACCTGCCTACTACCCTGGATGGAACAGACGAGCCCGCCTGATCGCGGAGCGTGCCTTTATTCAGTTTGGAGGCGGAAAGTAGGCTTAAATTAAAGGAATCTTCCACGGAAAAGCTCCGCCCTCATTACCACAGAAAACGATACCTTAAAGGAATCTTCCACGGAAAGAGTGATCATTTTGTCTTGTGTGTAGGATTAGTATTATCGAAACTAACGCTTATGTTCCGTTTTTTGCTATGCTCATGAGGCTAGGGGCCTAAAAGGTATCGTTTTTCTGTGGTAATGGAGGCGGAGCTTTTTGAAGGCTTAGCAGACATTTCTGGAAGAACTTGAAGAGGGAGACTGTTCTCTGACCCAGTATACGTCTCCATTCAAGATCATCGTGACACTCGAATGTTTTTAGGACTTCCCGCTCAACGGGGCCGATAGCCAGCTCTTGCGTTCTGTAACCCAATGAACGCTATTAATTTGGGAGAACTATGGTATGAATTTATGATTAACCAAATAGCAAAAGAAGACAGGTTCACCCAGTCCGGGTGACATTGGTTTGAAGACTCGACCAGAAAGGGCGCACGTCGAGGGTTCTGTGGTTGAAGGAGAAGGGTATTGGCAGCATACTTCCGAAAAAAAGGGAGAATGGAGCTCAATCGGAGTTGCGGTGGTTTTTAGAGAAGTTTTTTTGGAAATTAAAGTTCTTCTCGAGAATTTTCACAAAAGCTAATAAACCTCCGAAAATTCTCGAATTTTTCCTGTCCCGGCTGTAGTGAACCTGCGCGTTTCCGACTGAGGTCTTTTGCTGAAGGTCGGATAGTTTTGAGTAGGGTTAGTAACGGAGGTGGGACAGGTAGGATTACGGGTTAGGGCAAGGATCCCACTAGTTGCCAAATTTTCTCTACATGTGGCGGTTCACTTCACCTTGCAGAAACCCCAAAAAAAACCTCTGCGGAATAGTCGGTAGCATTTTTGAATAAGCTGGCGAACTAATTTGACAAAAATGAGTCTGAATGCCAAATATGGTGATTTTCACTGGGCCAGCAATTATTTTCTAGCACTTGCTTCTTTTTCAATGCCATTCTGCAGCTGCAGGGCACGAGCAGTGGGTAATTGAATATTTTACCATTTCCTACTCAAGTGATGGCTGAACACATTGGTTGCCAAGCCATTTGCAAATTGGCCACAAAGTTTCAGCTTTGAGCGTTCTTTGTTGGAAAGTGCTTCAGACCGAAATCATGCTCTAGCGTCCGTTAGCACGTGATGAGATTTAGTGTGGGATACTGCTGCCAAACCCACGCCATTGCACGTAACCGTCGACAAAGAGCAGTGTTCAGTTAAGTTGTCCAAGTTGTCCAGCTGTCAGAAAATCAAAGCGAGGAGGCGCTCCGATGATCGTACTAGCCATTACTTAGCTACGAATTCTATACTGCTCAGCGTGGAACTTGCTTTTGATGGGTGCAAAACCGGATCCGCCTCTTATTTTTGAATGTCGGCACTTCGACATGACGTATGTGAAGTAGTGGGCGGATTGGCGTTGACACATCCAGTACGCTGTGTTTGACAGCGTGAACACAAGCGTCCATTCTCGGCTTTATGACCTTACGATATGAATAGCAGACTTCTAACGTCCACTTTTTGGGAGCAGGTTGAATAGCCGCTGAGCATCTCCCAACAAGGGGTCGTAGTCGCCCTGGTGCTAGGAAGGAAGGTTGTATTTGGATTTTTTGGGACCGTAGATTGGGTACGTTGGCGAACATTTTTAGATTT